AGCTGCTCCCCCACCCCCAGCCGCTGTGGGCACCCCCCCACAGCCCCACACCTCCAGGGTAGATCAAGTGATGGAGCCCCCCAAACAGCCAGAGGGCAGGCAGACCGGGGGGACCCACCGGTGCTGCCCCCTCCCTCATGGCCCCTCTCCCCCCAGTGATGTGCCACTGCCAGCGCAGGGGGGGGCAGCTCCTGCTGGGTCGGGATGCCCATCTGCACGTCTACGAGCACGGCGGGGCTGCGCAGGTGGGTGCTGCGGGCACGGGAGGGCTCTGGCCGGGGCTCCCCGGGGCACGGAGGACCCGGTGGCACCGGTGGCGCAGGCAGGGGCCGGAGGGTGGCTTGCTGCTGCCCTCCTCCGGCTGCCGGGACCTGGCATCCCCTCCTGGACTGCGGCATCATCCGGATCACCCTGAGCCACAGCCTGGGCACAAGTTTGGGCTGAGCACACCCGGTGCATGGGAGGAGGGGACAGAGGGCGCCAGGACCCCCGTGCAGTGCCACCGTTCCCCCCCACGCACCACCACTGTCCCCCATCACCTCTGCTCTCTGCCCTGCCCCGGGCACAGGTCGCTGGCGTCCACTCCCAGGCACTGCCAGACCTGCCAGATGGCACCATCGACCTGGACCAGCTGGAGATGACCATCCGTGATGCCCACGGCAGCCGGTACCACCCGCGCCCCGAGCTCATCTGCCTGGAGAACACGCACAGCTCGGCGGGGGGCCGGGTGCTGCCCCTCACCTACCTCCAGCAGGTAGTAGCCAGTGGCTAGCAGCCACCCTGCCTCGGTGCCAGCAGCCAGACCTGGCACTGCAGGAATGCCGGGGCTGTGCCAAGGAGCTTGGAGCGTGGCTCACGTTGGCACTGGCCGCCCCACAGCACTTGGTGCCTCCGGGGGTCCCAGCTCCTCCTCTGTCCCCCCAGGTCCGAGGGCTCGCTGACCGCTACGGGCTGCGGGTGCACATGGACGGAGCGCGGCTGATGAACGCGGCGGTGGCCCAGGACGTGGAGCCGGCTCGGATCACCCAGCACTGCCACTCCGTGACCCTGTGCTTCTCCAAGGTGCTCGCTGGCACGGGGAGAGGGTCCCGGGGGCCATACGGGACCAGCACGAGCTGGGATCTCACCCTTGTGCCGGGGGGCATCCCCCAGGGCAGCGAGGGTCACCCTCCTGGTGGTTCTGCAGGGCTTGGGTGCCCCAGCTGGTGCGGTGGTGGCCGGATGCAGGGAGTTTGTGGCCGAGGCCTGGCGTGTGCGGAAGCTGCTGGGCGGGGGGATGCGGCAGGCGGGCGTGCTGGCCACCGCTGCCCGCCTCGGGCTGGAGCAGGCGGCAGTGACGCTGCGCAGAGACCACCACAACGCCCGGCGCTTCGCTGAAGGTACCCCGGGGCTCCTGGGCACACTGGGATGGACTCCCAGCTCTGCCCGGCTGCGCCACCGCGTCCTGTCCTGTCCCACAGCTCGATGTGGGCACAGCCTTACCCCTCCACCCCAATGGGGTGTCACCGCACCCAGCACCTCCCGGCACTGCCAGAGGTAACCGTGGTGGTGGCACCTTCCCCGGGTAGCCGTGCTGGGTTTCCAGCCAGGCAAGGGTGCTGCTGGGGTCCCTGCCTGGCTGGAGTGCCAGGCCCACCTCGAGTACTGTGTCCAGTTTTGGGCTCCCTACCATAAAAGAGACATCAAGGTGCTGGAGCGGGTCCAGAGAAGAGCAACAAAGATGGTGAGGGGTCTGGAGCACAAGTCTTGTGAGGAGAGGCTGAGGGAGCTGGGGTTTTTCAGCCTGGAGAAGAGGAGGCTGAGGGGAGACCTTATTGCTCTCTACAACTCCCTGAAAGGAGGATGTAGAGAGATGGGGGTCAGTCTCTTCTCTCAAGTCACAGGTGACAGGACTAGAGGAAATGGCCTCAAGTTACACCAGGGGAGGGTCAGGCTGGATATTAGGAAAATTTTTTCACCAAAAGGGTTCTCAGCCATTGGAATGGGCTGCCCAGGGAGGTGGTTGAAGCACCATCCCTGGAGGGGTTCAAAAGACGGGTTGATGTAGTGCTGGGAGATAGGGTTTAGTGATGGTGTTGCTTTTTGTTTGTTGTGTGGGTGTCAAAGTTAGGTTGATGGTTGGTCAAGATGATCTTTAAGGTCCCTTCCAACCTAGAAGATTCCGTGATTCTGTGATACTGTGACAATGCCATGCCTGTCCCTGCTGTGCCCGCGGTCACCCTGGTGCCAGGACCTGCAGCCTCCCCTCCTGCCTCCCCCAGGCATCCAGGAGCTGAACTCGCCCCTCATCTCAGTCAACCTGGCAGCGGTGGAGACCAACATCGTGATGGTGAGCATCAGGGGGGGCTGGCCATCCCCCGCCGAGCTCTGTGAGCACCTGCAGGACGTGAGCGAGGAGGAGGTGGCTGAGACCGGCCAAGCCGTCAGCGTCCTGCTCTTCCCCTGGTCGGCACACACCGTGCGCGCTGTCTGGCACCGTGACATCTCGGCCCGTGACACCGAGCTTGCCAAGAACAAGCTGGAGTTTGTGGCCAGGAAGTGCCAGGAGAAGCTGGCCCTGGGTGTGCGCCCCACTCCTCCGAGCACGGGGGGAGCCTGAGCATCCTCTCCAGCCCCAGTGCTGGGGTGGGGACAGCTGCTCTCCCTGTGCTGCAGGCGAGCTGGGCAGGCTCTCCCAGCCCTGTCCTGGTAGCCAGCAGCAAAATGACTGGGGCCACAGCGTGCTCCAGCAAAGTTCCCAGCTGGCTGCAGCACAGTGTCCACCCCGGTGTGCAGCCCAGGCCTGGGGAGACCCCAGCCCACCCCCCAGAGGGAGGGAGCACCTTCAAAGACATGGTCAGAGGGATAGCAGGGAGCCCACCTCTCACAGTAGGTTGCCCACATCTCACACCACATCCCAGACCCAGCAAACACAGCCCCAGAGCACCCTCTAGTCCTCAGCAGCAGCTCTGCTTCTGTAGCTGGGGTCCTGCAGACAGCAGTCCCTGACCCTAAGACACCCCCCTGCCCCTGGCCTGTGTGCACCCCACGTGTGCAAGGGTGCTGCCGCAGGGAGACACATCCCGAGGGATGCTCGGGGCACAAAATAAACGTGTTCTGGCAGCGCTGTGGCTGTGCAGGCTGTTTTCCCCCAAGCGTGCTCCTCCCCTGAGCTGGTGCAGCAGGGACATGGTCACAGCCCAGAGGTCCCTGCGGAGGGATGAGAGCTCCTGAGGGTTGTAAAAGCATCTCAAGAGTTTGTATTTGGCCAGGACTGTCCCGCTAGCCCAGCTTGGCCCAGACAGCTCCACGATGTGCTCCTGCATCATCCCCCATCCCCAAAAGCTCCTGTTTTCACTGAATTTCACTGAATTTTTAGAGTTGGAAGGGACCATAGAGATCATCTAGTCCAACTCCCTGTTAGCCCCATCCCGCAGCCATGGGTTCTCGGGGTTTCCCTGCCAAGCTCGTCGTGTACTGGGTTGGTGAGTCCCCAATTCTGCCTGTGCAAAGAGCCGGGCTCAGTGCTGTGCTCCACACTGCTGGCACGAAGAGCCCGGCCTCAGGACATGCTGGGAGAGGGGATTCTCTCTGCAGCCACCTCTGGTGTGCACTCAAACAGCCCCCAGCTCCCGGGGAACAGAGTTACACCCACGCAGCAGTTACTCCCGTTGCATTTTGTATTGGCAATAAGCGGTTTAAAGGAAAAAAGAGGGAACAAACTTCATCACCGGGTCATCCAGGCAGAGCCCTGCAGCCCTGAGGGGCAGGGAAGCTCCAGAGGGGCAGGAAGAGCCCAGCATAGGAACACCAGCCCAGCGAGAATCGGTGATAACTGGTGTTCAGGGACCCTGCACGGCTGCAGGGTGGGCAGAGCGGAGAGGGCAGGGTGCAGGCAGCTGCCTGTCGCCACCGCGCAGGGCTGCGGTTCCCGTTCAGTTTGCTCCTGATGTGCCATCAAGCTCTTGAAATCATGTTCAGAATCACCTGGGGTGAGGACACAGAGCCCTGTGAGCGGTGCTTGGCCCCGCTCCTCCATCCCTGGAGGTGAAAACCAGCCCCAAAACTGCAGCCCTGTGCCCACCTCAGTCTGCAGGGGAAGCTTTCCCCGTGCTCAGAGGGCGAAGGGCAGACGGGGGCTCTTCCCCTACCTGAGTGAGAACGTAGCTCTCCTCTGACAGCTTCTCGATGATGTCAAAGTGATCCACACCGGCGAGATCCAGCAGGGAGACAGACCAGCCGGCTGCACGCAGGGCCTGTAGAGAGAGCAGGGCTGCCAGGAGAGACCCGACCCCCATCTGCCCCCCAGGATGGGCAGCAGGAACCAGGCAGAGCAGCCTGGCAAGGACCAGCATCCTCCCACGAGCCGCTGTTGCCTCTGACGTGACACACAAGCTCTTTGTCCCAGCCCAGTGGGTCTGAGCGGGCGGTGGGAGCAGCAGCCCCATGGACCCCGGCGGGGGCTGCCGGGGGCTCACCTGGCCGTACTCCTGCGACTGCCTGCGGAACTCCGGGGAGTCGTGCTGGGCCACAGCCACGAGCACCTCACAGGACGTTGGCACTGCTGGGGGGATGCACAGCATGGGGCTGTTCCTCTGGGCCACCTCCCTGGGGGAGACACCGCAGTGACAGCCCCACGGACCCCTTGGCTCAGAGAGGCCATCTCTGCCCGTGGGGCACCCATGTCCTCACCTGCCTGTGCCCTTTCCCAGCCCCTGTCCCCCCCCGTGGGACTCACCGGCTCATGTTCAGCACATCGTTCACGTAGGTGTGCAGGATGGGCTCCAGGTCGTACACGCCGCTCACCAGCACCGCTCCTGGAGACAGAGGGACCAGGGTGTGAGGGGCCCTGCAGCTTGGGCTGCTCTCATAGAATCATAGAATAGTTGGGGTTGAAGGAACCTTTAAAGGCCATTTAGTCCCATCCCACTGCCGTGGGCAGGGACATCTTCAACTAGACCATAGAATCCCAGAATCATAGAATGGTTAGAGTTGGAAGGGACCTTAAAGATCATCCAGTTCCACTCCCCTGCCCTGGGCAGGGACACCTCCCACCACACCAGGTTGCTCCAAGCCCCCTCCAACCTGGCCTTGAACCCCTCCAGGGATGGGGCAGCCACAGCTTCTCTGGGCAACCTGGGCCAGGCTCTCACCACCCTCACAGCAAAGAATTTTTTTCCTAATATCTAACCTAAATCTCCCCTCTTCCAATTTAAAACCATTACCCCTCATCCTGTTGCTACACTTCCTGACCAAGAGTCCCTCCCCACCTCTCCTGTAGCCCCTTCAGATATTGGAAGGCTGCTATAAGGTCTCCCTGGAGCCTTCTCTTCTCCAGGCTGAACAACCCCAGCTCTCTCAGTCTGTCTTCATAGCAGAGGTGCTCCATCCCTCTGATCATCTTCGTGGCCCTCCGCTGGACCCATTCCAACAGGTCCATGTCCTTCCTTCTGGAGTTGAGGACTCCAGAGCTGGACACAATGCTCCAGGTGGGGTCTCGGGAGCGCAGAGCAGAAGGGTAGAATCACTTCCCACAGCTGCTCAGCAACTCAGGTTGCTCAGAGCCCCGTCCAACCTGGCCTGGAATGTTTCCAAGGACGGGGCATCTCCCACCTTTCTGGGCAACCTGGGCCAACATCTCACCACCTTTGGTGTAAACAATTTCTTCCTCACAGCCCTGCAGATGGGAACTCCCCCTTGCACCCGTGTCCCCAGGCCTCGGTGAGCTGCTGGTGGGTGCAGGACACGCACTCCCCAGGACATATTGTGCAGGAGCCCAGAGTCCTGCACCCCCAGGGCCTGTGGGCAGCTCATCTCCCTCAGCTCTGCAGCCCCTGCAGCCCTGGACAGGCAGCAGGGATGGCCTCGTCCCACGCGGGTACACCCCGGACGCGGTGGTACTACCTTTGATATCTGGCGTCACCCCGTACTCCGTCCAGTCCGTGGCCAGCACCATGGCTGCCAGGTGGGCCCCTGCCGAGTGTCCACACAGGTACACACCTCTGGAGAGGGGGGAGCCATGAGCCACCACAGGAGGGGACGTGGGGACACCCTGCTCCCCGCGGAGGAGCTGGCACGGCCGCGAAGGTGGCAGCTCGGGCACCATCGACGGGGAGCACCGTTTGCCTTGAAGACCCACTGGTGGCCTTCTGAAGACCCACTGAAGACCCACAGGGGGTGGTGGGGACCCCTGGGGAAGCCCACCTGATGCCGGAGTACCGCCGCACCAGGAAGGCGAGGCTGCGCCGCACCTGCAGCACCATGGCGTCCATGTGGCCTGGGCAGAGGGCAGGGTCAGGAGGGCACGGGGCCGGCCAACGCGGGGCAGCCACGGCCTCCACCGGGCAACACCTACCTTGGGGAGCTATGTCATAGCCCACCGCCACCACCGCCACCCCCCGCGACACCAACGGGGGGGCTGCGAACCCCGACTCGTCCTTACTGGGGGAGTTGGGGGTGGAAAAAGAAGTTGGCCGGGCTGCGGGGGGCTCCCGGGAGCACCCAGAATAATTCCGGGTGCCGTGACGAAGGGTGGCAACGGGAACAAGCCGGGGGGGTCCCTTCCCGAGGGACCCCCTCCCCGACAGCCCCCCTCACCTCAGGCACTGCCAGTATCCGCCGTGGATGTAGACCAGGACCGGGAATGCTGCGTGGCACAGCCCGGGGTGAGCGGGGTGTCCGCCTCCCACCCCCCCCCTCCTCC